GTGGTGTTCCGTGGCCTTATATGAGTTAAACTTTTCAAAGTCAGCTGTCACATACGCGGGTTCTAAGACTACAGATTCATTTGTCACTTACTGTCCCTAACTGGTGAAGCGCCAATTCTGAAATTAATCTGATTAGAGCTTCCTAACATTATGGGTATACCTGTTTTCCATATTGGGTGTAACTTGGCATGCAGGTGTAAAATGAGCTCTGGGGTACGCTCGTCCCGCGCATTTAAATATTTTTAACGAGGGGCAATTTCTATAACGAGTCAAACTGAGGAAATGAAATTTTACGAAGATATTGTTCGTTTATTTTGCAACCAATGTAGCTTTAAAGCATGTCTAGATCTTGCATGCGTGCAAGTGCATGTTTAGTTTATGTTACTCTTGGCACCCAATTAACTCGCTAACTAGGCTGAGCAGAAAACAGTATTTTTCTGAAGATTTTGACTGCTTGCGGACGTGAAATAAGCATATACTTTGCCTACAAACATATTAAATGCTCATATTGCAACACTGCCGGCATCCTACTCTTTCGCATTCAGGCAGGCAAGAAAACAGAAATTTTGTGGGAATATTGGATGTTTCTGTGGAGCAGTCGCATTTTATTTGCTAAAACTGCAAAAATTTCGTTCTCTAGCGAAATTATTTTCCGGCAGGGTATCTGTCCATACCTAGGTCCTTTCATTGTCTCGATCTTCCTTTATACAGCTGATTTTCTTCCGTACATTACGAGGTTCATATGACTTCATACTGGGCATAAAAGACGTTACTTCCTTTGAAATTGATTCCATTCGTTGCTGTCTTGTTGTCCAGCAGATGCTTTTGTCAGCAAGGTTATCGGCACATTTTGATACTTTGGAATTCCTAACGTGCTCTTGTTATGGTGTTTTCTTTAATGCCGCTATTTTACTAAAAATTATCTCATTTTTCTTTATTTTTTTTTCACAGAAGCTTGCACTGAATTTTGTACTTTAGGCCATTTTTGCCTTACGTTGCCCTTACTCTTTTTTGTAAGTTCATATGCGTGCGTATTTATCCCTTTTTTTGAAATCCATCTTGATCTTTTCCAAACTGTGGATCGAAATTGATGACGTGGCGGATGCAAAAGTAATTTAGGTGCCCATGAACAACCTTCGCTTGTTGGTGAAGATATGTTCGTTTTCATTTCTTGTTATGCGATTTTGCGCTGCAGCAGTGGGCAAAGCCACATATCATTACAACCTTGTGTGTGTGTTTAAGTATTTCAGTTCTATAACCAGGGAGGCGTAGATGCTGGAACGTCACAAATGTGTTCTCCGGCCGAGTGTAGTCCGGGAGAAATGATATGAACTTTCATGTATGTCTGCATTTCACATACGGAAATGTGAAAATTCTGAAGTGAGGATTACTAACTTGGGAGCTAGAAAAGTTAAGAAGTTGAAGTTTTAGG